GCAGAGATTTGCGCGTCCCGGAGAGGGGTCCCATTCGCCTGCTTGTGACGTCACCGTGACGTCACGGTGACGTCACGGTCAACACGCTTCCCTTATAAGCAATGTTGTTATAGTAGATTTACTTCGAAGCACCAAGTGATTGTGTAATTTAATTGTATAAGCAAGTAGAGAAAACTGATTAGGTTGTTGCATAAGTGATCCTCCAGGTATATGCACCGAAGGAATCAGCATAGCATGTTTTTTATTTGCAGATAAAGTATGTGCTGCACAGCTAGCTCTAAGTAAATTTGAACACCTATGGGATCCAAGTCTGTTCACTCGCGGTGCACATCGCAATGTGACGCAATCTCACGACATTTCGCGAAGTTCTGGTCGTTTCTAGGAGACATTCGAGATTTAAGTTTGCACTATAACCAGCTGAGTTTCTTTAGAAAGAAGCGGAATAGAAATGCGACACCTGTCCAAACTAAGATCGTCAAAGCAACAAGAAGGAAGAATTGTCTATGTAGTTGACTCAAACGATTGTGGGCAAGCTTCCTGAATGGATTACGTGGGCGACTTTCTACATTCTGTTACAATTTGGGTGCAGTCAAATATATGTCTCAGGTGATGCCGTATATGAACATACTGCAGATGCAAACAAAACAGCAGTAATTTTGAGCAAAAAGTCATTTCAGTTGCGTTGGCGTACAATAGTGCATTATACCGCTATATTTTTGTCCTATCCGAAAGAGATCTCATACTTATTCAGAACGACAGAATTACTCAGTGCATGTGTTTTGAACAAACTTTGGCGTGTTAACTTTTCTCATCTTATCACACCTTATCTTATCTTCAGTGTGAATGATCTTTGAACTGTTCTATGAAAGCCCTCCAAATATTGGGTTGATAACTTCACTCCAACTAAAGTCATGCCTTCTCAAGCGTGAAGCGTGTGCTGATCGTGAAGATGCACATGACGGAAAGACTCAACAGCAAATCGCTCGAATACTCGAAATCCCCCACGCGGCTGGTTCACTCTGCCTGCTTCGAAAATACAAATAGCACCCAGGCCATTTTAGGGTTGGTAGACCAGCCACTACGATTACGCCCACGAACCAGAGAGTCATCGAGCGCATCTATCGAGACTCGCAGACAAGCTTGACCAGGTTGTCATCAGAGCTGCCCTTCAGTTGCAACCGTTTCGGACGTTGTGAGGGTTAACCTTAGGAATCAGCTCTACCGCGGAATGCATTTCAAAAATACATGAAGCTGGCCCGACTTTACAGGTGCCGTCGACTACCTGAGCGCTTCTCCAACGTAACAACTCTTTTCTGAACACTTTATAGTGGAGCAGATTTTTGACCGCAAAAACAGCAGGATCATAACCAATGCTCGAAGAAGCTAATAATGAGGGTCGACCTGTGAGAAATAAGCTATAACAGGCTTCTGTGATGGTTTGAGCGACGATCACTACCTACGGAAAGACACCGCTATTTTTACGCCTTTGGGCATGAAGGTCGACGCCACTAGGTATTTGAAAGAAGCTTGAATATACTCCTTCTGAGACGCCATAAGTTTCGTTTCCTTTTTTCAAAATTTACTTAAAAATTCACTAAACCCAATAACGCTCGCCGTAGGCCTAGCAGCAGCCTTGCTGAATGCAAACTCCTACTCATACTACACTGGGCAGAGGCCAGCCACAGCGTATTTTTTTATTGGTCTCAAACTGTAGCTTACAATTCCTTTGATTATTATACATTAATTCAATTCCACAAGAGTAAGGTGAATAATATCTACACTTTAGATAATTGATGATGATTAGATAATTTTGGTAACCATAATACCACGGAAGAATGTTGTATGCTTTGTGTTATATGTAATCTGGTAAAACATCAACCTTGTTATAATAAGCACTTCAGCCAAACTAAAACTCTACACATACTGTAATGATAAGTTTTCCTTACGAATAAAAATCTATTTACTGCATTACATGTAATGAGTGTATTAGACAATACGCAGGAATGACTACAAGGTTTTTAAGAACAAGAATAAAAGAACACATCTATCATATAAATGAAAATGATGTCCATAATTACTTTTATGATCAATTCCAAACTAGCACTAACCACAAGAGAAGTGTATAAGTAAGCATTCTAGACAAGTCATGCGATGAAGACAAAAATATTCCTTCCGACAAAGGATTAGTCGAGAGCCGCAGTGGCTTTAGTTCAGCTGTGTCATACCTTTATAAAAAACGCTTGTCTGCTTTTTTTCACTTAAAATTACTTTCATGCGTATTTTGTTCCAGAGTGTGTTTTTATAGAGGATTCCGCACTTTTTTGGCTAGTTTGAAAGTGATAGCGCTCCATTCATCTTATGAAAAAAATTCGAGTTTTCGTATCGAAAGCGCACCCGACATAGACTTGACCGCAGGTCTGCGTTCTTATGTCTTCAAACTCTTTCTGCAATGTTTCATGAGCGTGAGCTGGAGTAGTGACATTGTTAGTATGTATAAGAGTCCGTATGCAGTGGTTGCAGGTTTACGCAGATCTTAGTATGGAGGCTATTTGAGGACTTCATCCTGCACAAAGTGATCTGCTGCAAGCCTTGAAGTTATTTCTGGTTCTGACCATAATGCTTATGTGAGTCACAAGGCAACATACAATACAGGGTGTACTCACTTAGCAGCTAAATAGTGGCAAAATTCAAGGAAGGTACCACTTGGTAAGTATTAGGTTGTAACAGGATTAATGCTGGTTTTTCGCACCTCTTTTGCAATGTGCTGAATCAAAATAAAATTCCTTTGTCTCAAAAAACTATGCATACACCTGAAATCACTCTTCTTCTAGTTTCGTAGGCATGCTTTCGTTTCGAAAGTAGTGGATTCATCCCGAAATTACGTGCCTTCGAAATCAAAAAGCTAAACTCTGTATTATTTTCTTTTCAAACTCTTTGCTCTAGATTCACCGCGAAATATCGGAATTCTTCGCAAACTGGCATAATGTTTGTATGTGGCCCTTGCTACAAAATGCAAATCAAAGTAGAATTTTAAAAAGTTTCCAGAATGAGAAATCTTATTTTAAAGCCAGACAACCGCTGCTATCATTCTGCGGCGTAAAAGAAATCCTACGTACGAAGCAAATGCAGAGCTTTCGTCGTGAGCACAAAGAATAGGCACAGACATTTGATGGCAAAAAAACGGAAGTTGTTATTGTCTTTAGCGGCGCGAAGTTTTAAAATGCAACAAAAAAGGACTTTTTCGCCTTTTCAGAGCAATTGATAAAAATGAGTGATCACAACTTTTTTGCGATATTTTCTAACAAGAATTTTTTCGCAAATTTCAGACTTAACGCTGCTGCACAACCAACTATTGTCTACACATAGAGTAAAACTTGTATAATTCTACTGAATTGTGCAGCAAGTTATGGCCTCTCAAACTGAAGGTTTTCCAAGAGAAATTTTGGCAATCTTTAGGCTATAAAATTTTCCTCGGTGAAGTTACAACGACACAGTAGTGCGTACTTTTCCAAAAGTTTGCTGATTGCAGTAGTCTTTTTTGGAAACGGATTGACTTTTTCTGTAAAAAGATATAGTTGTCCAAACTAAAAATTAGGAAAACCTGCATTAATTTTGTTACAACCTAAGACTTTGAGATTGGCGAACACATCGCAAAACTTGTGCTTCGAAAAAAATTAAGAGCGACTTCGCGAACAATCGTGACTATAGTTTACGAACTTATTTCTATGTAAATAATGTTAAATAATGCTTCTACATTATTTTGAGCTTACAAAAATAGTGCACACCAATTTTGAAGGCAAAAATTCGAGCGCAGGCCTAACCGCAGGCCTGCGCTATAACTGACTCTTATACATACTAACAATGTCACTACTCCAGCTCACACTCATGAAACATTGCAGAAAGAGTTTGAAGACATAAGAACGCAGACCTGCGGTCAAGTCTATGTCGTGTGCGCTTTCGATACGAAAACTCGAATTTTTTTCATTAGATGAATGGAGCGCTATCACTTTCAAACTAGCCAAAAAGTGCGGAATCCTCTATAAAAACACACTCTGGAACAAAATACGCATGAAAGTAATTTTAAGTGAAAAAAAAGCAGACAAGCGTTTTTTATAAAGGTATGACACGGCTGGACTAAAGCCACCGCGGCTCTCGACTATGTATATGCACAAAAAATTTGGAAGCCGAGAATTACTTTAGCAGCAGAAGTTTTAGGTGGATCTACAGTTTTTGCCAACCTTCGAGCCTGCTTTTTTCGAAATTCTGATTTTTTCCTGAATAATCAAACGAAAGCGGAATCCGCTCCGGTCACTGATGGAAGTCTTTGAACACACAGCTATACCAAATTTCAGGTCAATTTGTCGAGAAGCAGATGAACCACGGCAGTTTTTAGAGTGGATCTATAGTTTTGGCCAGCACTGTATATTGTGAACATATTTTATTGTCACACTGATATATTAATTACTATTATTGTGTTTGATCGTATTGTGGTTTTTAAAATGGAAGTTGCATAGAATACTAAGCATAATAACTTTAGTTTTGATATTTAATTTGTTTAGGAAGCTATCGTCAAAACAACAAGTGATAACTTGCTGTGTGAATGTCTCTTTTAGTGAATTGTGGAGAGGGCCGTGCGAGAGATCAGCGTACGAGAAGCCCGCGAAGCGCAGTTATGGCGGGAACCATAGGGATATTTAAGCAGTGCGCGCCGAGACCTGCATTGCCCGCGAAGGATCTCACACTCGATATCGTTTTCTATCTCATGCGGTTGCCTTGACTGAGCTTTATTTTTGTCTTGTTCTTCTGTTGTTTTCCTCGTTGTTCGTGTAGTAAAGTTTTGTTTTGATTTCCTGTTCTAGAATTACTGGCTTGGAGCCGTAGATCTCTATCGCAGAACCCGGTGAGGGGTACATGGGGGCCGAACCGATCGATAGGGATTGAGATTTCGTAATACGTTGAAACTTGAGGGTATGGGCAAGGAAATCATTGATTGTTTCCAGATGGCGGAAGGTTCGAGTGCCGCCGGAAAGACACCGAGAGGGGTTAGTGCTGCGACTGTTAGCGCCCCGGGTAAAAAGGTGAGTATCAAGAATCTAGAAGAAATAGTTACGGATATGTAGGCAGATTGGAAAACACAGAGAGAATCATACAGACACTTCCCGAGGGGGTGCGAAAAGAAACAGAAGATGCAAGAATAGCGGGGAAGTATAGGGAACAAATCGAACGTGTACAAGGAGAACAAACAACGATAATAAGTGGGGAATCAAACAGAATGAAGGGGGAATGGAACCACATAAGACTTTTTGTGGAAAATTTATGCAGTCTGCTACTCACAAGGGATATCGAGTCAGTATTAGATTTAGAAGAGTTTCTCAGAACAACAGAAAAAGACATAATAATGATAAATGACATTTGGTTAGGTAAAGCGACGAGCCTAGGACTTAAGGTATATATGGGGAGTAAAGGTTCATTGGTAGGTGAAAATGTGCGGCCCAGATAAGCGTGCTAAACCTTTAGGTACCAGCTATACTGGACACAGGGTCGATGATTAGCATTGTTCCTGTGGGGGTGCTGGCACGCGCGAAAAAGGCAGGTTATGACGTAGATGTTTTAGAGGTGATACCCGACAGAAAGTTAAGCCCGGTATATGACGCCTCGACCAACAAGATGAACTTTCTGGGAGCTGTTAAAGTCCCTGTAAAATTAGAAGGGGGAAAGAAGAGCATAGTAGCATTCCACATATCGGACGTCAAGGATGATGATGTACTGATGGCACAAATGCATTGGCAGCTTTGGGAGTCGATATAACACTCAAAACGGAGGGAGTGCAACAGGATGTGCTTGACGGAAAAAGAGTAGTAACAACAAAGCGGGTGTACATTCCTCCATATAACTCAATACTCGTGCAGGCGCGATGTGAGGGAGGCAGTGAACTAGAAGAGAGGGCAGTGTGGCCAAGTGAGGAGGACCTACCCGTCGGGGTGTTCACAGTGAAGAATCAGGAACTGGACATTCCAGTCATGAACACCACGGAGAAGCCAATGATTCTTAAAGAAGGAGAGGAGCTAGGACAATGGGGCACAGAGAAGTGGAAAAGTAAGTGGGAAGAAATGAATCCACTAATGATGGACAAGGAGATACCACACCTTGATAGGGAGGAACATCCTGTATGCACAGCTGAAGGAAGGGTCCAAGGTAAAGCAACTGGATGACGACTTGAAACAATTGGTGGACGAATTCGAGGAGGCATTTGCCGTGCTCGACACAGAATTGACAGGAATAGACAGAGCAGAAGTGTCCATTGCAACTGGGGATGCTAAACCAATAAAGCTGAAAACTAGACCCGTGCAGCTAGGGATTCGCAAAAAGCTGAAGGAGCTTCTAGGGGAACTGGAAAATAGAAAGATCATAGAAAAAAGTAGTTCAGCCTGGGCATTCCCGAGAGTGTTGGTGGAAAATAAGACTGGTAGCTTGAGGCTATGCGTGGACTACAGGGAGTTAAATAAACGGATCAAGCTAGACTCGTATCCACTGCCTACGATTGATGCGGTGCTACAGAGCCTGTCAGGCAAGAAATTTTTCTCCACGCTAGATTTAGGTTTGGGGTACTGGCAAATACCACTGGCACAGGAAGCAAAGGAGAAGTCGGCATTTACGACAACATAAGGGTTATTTCAGTTCAGAGTAACTCCTTTTGGGTTAAGTACAAGTTCTGCGGTATTTCAACGTCTTATGGATTCAGTACTACGAGATTTATTAGGAGATGAAGTTTTCTGCTATATCGACAACATAATCATATGTACAAACACACGAAAAAGGCATTTTGAGCTACTTGGTAAGGTATTCAAAGCTTGCAAGAAGCTGGACTAAAATTGAAGGCGATGAAGTGCGTTTTGTTGCAAGAAAAGTGGCGTTTTTGGGGCATGTGATCGACTGTGAAGGAGTGCACATGAACCCCAAAAAGGTAGAAGCAATCGAGAAGTATGCGGTCCCAAAAAGTCCCAAAGAGCTGAGAACATTTCTCGGTATGGCATCATACCACCGCAAATTTTGCCTTGGATTCTCCAAGGTTGCGGGGAGCTTATTTGCGTTGACCTCGCCCAAAACTGTGTGGAAATGGGAGGCAGAGCATGAAGAAGCATTTTCTAAGCTGAAGGAAATGATAGCCTCTGCGCCTGTGTTGATGCAGCCGAATATTGAGAAAGCAAGGGAAGGACCCCGACCATTCGTGATATGCACAGATGCATCCTCGGTAGGGTTAGGAGCGGTCCTTTCCTAAGAGGGGGACGACGGGCTAGTAAACCCAGTCTACTTTGCCTCGAAAGGACTCAGCAAGGCAGAGAGGCGGTACCACATTACTGATTTGGAAGCTTTAGCCGTAGTGTTCGCGGTAAGACGCTTCCACATGTTCATATACGGACTTCCTACCATAGTTCTGACAGACCAGCAACCCTTGACAGCGCTTTTCAGTAGGAGTAATGTATCGGCCAGAGTACTAAGATGGTCACTAGAAATGCAAAGATACAACTTGGTAATAAAATATGTGAAGGGTAAGACTAATGTTGTAGCAGATGCTTTAAGTAGGAGCTTTATAGAGCGTGGAGTCTGGGAAACTGCGGATGCAAGTGAGGCCGTTGTGAGTAAACTAGAAGTAGAACAAAGAAGTAGGTGGCTAAAAGAGCTAGAAAATGATGAGGTTTTTGGTCCGGTTATTGCCATGTTGGAAAAAGGAGAGCTGGGGCAAATCGATAAAAATACCAGGGTTGCGATATCCTATACAAGTAGCCGATTTCGAGATCGAAAGCGTGGAACTGAAGATGTATCAGGAGGAAGGGAATTTGGTTATGGTAGTACCTAAAACCGCAAGATATGAAGTGTTCCATGAAGCACATGCAGGAAACTTTGCCGGACATTTTAGTGCTCATAAGTTATGGAATAGACTCAAGAAACAGGTGTTCTGGCCTAACATGCTAGCAGACATAAGTAAATGGACAAGAGAATGTCAACGGTGCTTTCTACATAACCCAAGAGCGACAGTGAGACCACCGCTGAAACCAATCGTTACGGAGAAGCCGTACGAAATCATAGGGATTGACGTGCTGGAACTTGGCCTGACAACAAGCGGAAACGGATATGCTGTTACGGTCATTGACCACTTCTCAAAGTATGGGGCAGCATATCCGGTTCCGGACAAAACGGCTGAAACGATAGCAAAGGTTTTATTCATAAGGTGGATAGCAGAGGGATGTAGATGGCCTAAAACAATATTATCTGATAAGGGTGGAGAGTTCGAAAATAAGGTGATGGCAGAACTCATAAAAATTACAAAAATCGAACATGTAACTACGAAGGGGTATAATCCACGAGAAAACGGTATAACAGAAAGGTTAAATGGGACTATACTGGCCATGCTGCGTAGAAGCCTCGCGGTTCCAGTGGAATGGGATGCGAGACTGCTGTTTTGCATGATGGCATACAACCTTACTCCACATAGTGCTACGAGAGAAAGCCCATATTTTGTGCTTCACGGCATGGACCCAAATTTCCCCTCAGCAGTAATCCCAAGTGGGGGGATCTCTTGGTACTCCATGGTAGAGAACATGACGGATTACAAAGCGCAGTTATTGCAAGTTGTAGCGGAGGCACATGAGCGTGTGAAAGAATACAATGACAGAGTGAGAAGGGAGATGAAGCGTCTGTATGACGACCGGAATAAGGTAGATGCTGCAAAACTTCCGAAAGTAGGCGACAGGGTATACCTTTTGGCTCCTAAAGAGAAAGGGATTAGCACGCATCCGAAATTAGTGTCAGAATGGGCTGGACCATTTCGAGTAATAGAAACAAGCTAAAATTCCGCGCTAATTACGAGAATAGGTGAAGAATCGGAACCCATACAAGTTCAGTTTGATATGTTAAGGACAGTTCCGAAATACATCTATGATGAGCCCGTAGATACAGTGACTAAAAGGGGAAAAAGAGGGAGGAAACCTAAAGTTAGTGTAAAGAAAGTAACAATGTTTTCTTTCAGAGGTGCGGTGATTGCATCCAAAACCGAAAAGGGACATCTCGAGTAACAGTGTAAGGAAGGATGCTTGAAGAGAGTCTGTCTTGGAGAGTTAGAAGGAATCAAGTTTCCTGGAGCACTGGCAAAGGAACCGATTGGAAATCTGTGGAAGGCCTGGAAGCAAGTATCTTCGCAAGAACTGACATCGACATGGCCTCAAAGATCAAATTCTGGAAGGATGGAGCCGTTTGTATGGACCCAGATAGATTGAGGAAACTATTGCGAGTGGCGTATAAAAGATGCATCGATTGGACTGAATTTATTTGCGAAAACGAAGGAATAAGACGCCACGAAAGAATCGACAATTACGAGTTTGACAGGATTTACGACGCAGCCTTCAGAAGAGCCAAAATGGAATTAGAAGGCGAAGAACAAGGCCATGGACCGGTAAAGGAAGGCGGCACAGCATTCGCGGCTCCATCGTCGGCGGTGTTATTGGAACGAGATGGACCGAAACGGGGGATTCTCACAAGAGTTGCCACCACCTTCACCCAGCTAAAGGAAGTCTTGCAGGAATAAGGAATACCGCACATGGATTATCGTCTGGCCGAAAGACCAACTGGCAGTGAACAGTGACTTATGCGAGGTAATGAAAACGTGCGTGCAGCAGTTTGAAGAAGGTGGAAAAATCGTGACTGTTTGGCTCCCAATGGAGAAAATCGCGGACGAATGGAAAAAGCTTATAGAACTATGAGAAGTCCTCGATCAGACGTTGCTGCACCAGGCTAAACCGGGACAATGCATATTCACTGCCGGGACGAAGGTGGAGGATGGCAAGATTATGATTGAGGCAGGACCACCAGAAGGCTGTTTGTACTACTATAGCGCTTCGGATCTTCCTGTGGCATGCGCAGAGATACTGTTCGAGGCCGTGAGAAGAAGAGTCGCGAAACAGGACGCTGCCTGAATTAAAGAGGAATGAGCCGCCGATGAGGTCATCGGCTCCCGAAGGGGGGAGCGTGTGGAGAGGGCCGTACAAGAGATCAGCGTACGAGAAGCTCGCGAAGCGCAGTTATGGCGGGAACCGTAGGGATATTTAAGCAGTGCGCGCCGAGACCTGCATTACCCGCGAAGGATCTCACACTCGATATCGTTTTCCTATCTCATGCGGTTGCCTTGACTGAGCTTTATTTTTGTCTTGCTCTTCTGTTGTTTTCCTCGTTGTTCGTGTAGTAAAGTTTTGTTTTGATTTCCTGTTCTGGAATTACCGGCTTGGAGCTATAGATCTCTATCGCAGAACCCGGTGAGGGGTACAGAATGTATGTAATGAAACATGTCAGATTCAGTTTAATTTCATTGATTTCAGTTGAAAACTTTTCTATTGTTTCACCATTTTTATTTTTATGTCTATATTTACTGCGTATTCTATCTTCTATTATTTTGAGGTTGTAATAAGCATGATTGTTTTTGTATGTAAGTGGGTTATCTATCTTTGATATATTACCACATCCTTTGATGTTGTCATTAAATCTATATGGATATGCTGTAGGATTTGCCTTGTGACTCACATAAGCATTATGGTCAGAACCAGAAATAACTTCAAGGCTTGCAGCAGATCACTTTGTGCAGGATGAAGTCCTCAAATAGCCTCCATACTAAGATCTGCGTAAACCTGCAACCACTGCATACGGACTCTTATACATACTAACAATGTCACTACTCCAGCTCACGCTCATGAAACATTGCAGAAAGAGTTTGAAGACATAAGAACGCAGACCTGCGGTCAAGTCTATGTCGGGTGCGCTTTCGATACGAAAACTCGAATTTTTTTCATAAGATGAATGGAGCGCTATCACTTTCAAACTAGCCAAAAAAGTGCGGAATCCTCTATAAAAACACACTCTGGAACAAAATACGCATGAAAGTAATTTTAAGTGAAAAAAAGCAGACAAGCGTTTTTTATAAAGGTATGACACAGCTGAACTAAAGCCACTGCGGCTCTCGACTATGTATATGCACAAAAAATTTGGAAGCCGAGAATTACTTTAGCAGCAGAAGTTTTAGGTGGATCTACAGTTTTTGCCAACCTTCGAGCCTGCTTTTTTCGAAATTCTGATTTTTTCCTGAATAATCAAACGAAAGCGGAATCCGCTCCGGTCACTGATGGAAGTCTTTGAACACACAGCTATACCAAATTTCAGGTCAGTT